TCTGTCTTTCTGTCTCTCTGTCTCTCTGTCTGCTGTTTGTCTATCTATTTGTTTATCTGTCTATTTATCTGTCTATCCATCTCTACCTCTCTATCTCTCGCTATCTCTGTCTATCTATCTATCTCTCTCTCTCTCTAAATTTTTCTGTCTCTATCTATCTCTATCTATCTCTATCTATCTCTATCTAAACTCTATCTATCTCTATCTATCTCTATCTATCTCTATCTCTATCCATCTCCATATCTTTGCATGTCTATCTCTTTCTCTTTCTCTTTCTCTGTCTGTCTGTCTGTCTATCTATCGATCTATCGATCCCTCTATCTATCGGTCTATCTATCTAGCGATCTATCGATCTATCTATCTATCTATCTATCTATCTATCTATCGGTCTGTCTATCTATCGATCTATCAATCTATCGACTATCTATCTATTGATCTATCGATTTATCGACCTATCTATCTATCGACCTATCGACCTTTCTATCTATCGATCTGTCTTTCCATCTATCCATCTATCTATGTACCTATCTCTCTATCTATCTATCTATCTATCTATCTGTCTGTCTATCTATCTATCTATCTATCTATCTATCTATCGGTCTACCTACCTATCTGTCTAATCTATCGATCGCTCTATCTATCCATCCATCCATTTATCCATCCATCCATTCATCCATCCATCCATCTATCCATCTATCTCTGTCTGTCCTCTCCTGTCCTGTCCTGCCCCCGTCCCTGTCCTGTCCCGTCCCGTCCTGTCCCGTCCTATCTGGTCTGTCTACCTATCTCTCTTGTAGGAACACGCTCTATGCTCGGGGCATGGCCAGTCTCACTCACTCCTTTCTCAGGTACCGTAACATGAAGAGCCGACCGGCGTGGTCTGTGATCGAGGGCCACCAGTACGAGGCTAGCATGTCCAAGAGAGAGGCTAAGAGCTTTTGCTGTCATGCCTGGGTTGCTTCAGGTCTTTGGCAAAGATCGCGGCTATGGCATATGCGATCCATCTCTAGTGGCTCCCTCCTCTGCCCGGGGCTGAGAGAAGTTGTTGTGCGGACACTGTCGCCGGCGTCACCTCTGTGCTTCAGGCAGGCACCAAGCCGGCGTCGAACCTTCAAGACCACCTCGAAGAGGTCTTAGCTTTGAGGCCCGTGCAGGTACCGTATCTCTTGTTGTCAAGACACAGGGCTTCTGATTCTAGTAATGAAAAGCATTCTCTGCAATCGGCGCCCGCCCATTCGGAAGCTCGGCATTCACACCCGGGATCACTCGCTTGTTGGCCAGCTCACTCTCACACTCACTTTCTCTCTCTCTTCCTCTCCTCTTTTCTGTTATATTCTTGCTGCACCGACTTTCCCGTCCGAGACAGGGATTGCCCTCTTTTGAGGATGCGCCTCCTCCCCGTCAGTGCCTGCGTTCCTACCATCGTCACGGTTCAACATCCGGGGTTGCTGACCTGGCCCAGAAGCGTGAACGTCGGGGCAGCAGGTTCTTCGTGGATTGGATGAGCCTGTCCATGGAGGACCACGCAGCACCATGGTTTGTGGACTCGAGGTTTGTCCTTTCAGATGTACAGGGCCGAAGGGCGGAAGGGCTTGGGCCCGAGGCCCTATGTTATTTTGGGGGTTCCTTATTATGATATATTATGATTATGGTATAATACACCTCCAAAACCCTAGGCTATGCTTGGGGCTTCTCAGAGCCCCCTCCGCTTCGTGAACCTTACAGCTGGGAGCCCAAAGCTCCTGAACTCTCCCACTCCCCGCACCTCGAGGACGCCCAGGAGTTTCTGGATCAAGCCACCAAGCCTCCTGTCGGAAGATGAAGGCTTTGCTGGGGCTCCGCTCTTTTCAAGGGCTTTCGGGTCTAGTGTTCAGGTTTTTCTCGATCCTTGGGTTCCAAGTTTGGCTTTAAGTTAAGCAAAGAAGTCTCCAAGCAAGAAACAGTTGACCCTTGCTTCTGAAGAATTACAGGCCTTCCTTGCTTATGAGGTAATGCGACCGCCCAAATACTGCTGACACTGTAAGGCCCGCTCCAATGTTACAAGCGCGGTGCCGGCAACATGCTGCGTGAATCTCCAAGCAACAACACGGTAAGACAGAAGGAGTAGGTTGATGGAACGGTTGTATCTGAGTAGCGCGCGCGCACGCGCGTGTGCGCAACTTTCCGCGCATGCTGCGTGGTGTTCGTCCAAGGCGCGCCTACAAGAGACCCGTGCTGAAGCCCAAAGCTGCACCGGACCCCGTCTCGCAGCAGCTGGCGGCCCTGAAGGCACGAGCTCCTTTCGAGTTTGGGTCAGAAGCTCCAGGGAAGGGTTTCTGCTTGGGATTGCGATGACGGCTGACTCGGGGGGAGACTGGCCAAGGCTGCGTCGCGAAGGCCTGGGATTTTGATCTTCTTGGATTCTGCAAGACACAGGAGAAGACGGTCGACTCGTTCTCCTTGATGCTCGGAGCCCAGTGCCGTCAACCAAACCGTGATTTCAGCGCAGAGTAGTGCTGGCTCGCGGCGAATTTCGGGCCTGCAAAGAGAGGTGGACAGACGATGCAGAGCTTCGTGGCGTTGCTTCGCTGGCCATCCGGCTCATGGATGGTTTGGAAGGCCTGTGCGCTTCAACTTCGAATCCAGACAAGGAAAATGTTGATGGCACCCTCGAAGACGACAGCAGCAGTTGCTCCTGCAGTAAGGGTGCTCGTCAACTAACAGCAGCCCGCGGGAGTTTGTCTACAAATCGTAACATGTTGGATCCTTCCCTCGACTGTGCCTTCATTAAATTTGTTTGCCGGATCGGGCCTGCTGTCTGCGAGCTCTGAACCTGAAACCTGAACCCTAAACCCTAAAGGCCCTAAACCTTGCCTCCGTCTGGCAGGGCCCAGTGCCTTGACCTTCGCAGCGACGTTCGTCGGGCAGATGCTGTGCTCCCTGCTTTCTTGTGCTGTCCTGGGGCACTCTGCAGGTTTGTTTGCCCTACCGCTTAGCATTCTTATTGCCTTCTTGTAAGAGTAACGTATTCGATGGCGACCAAAGGGAAATCCTAAAGGTGGACACACACTCCTGCGATACAGCGAGAAGGCATCTTTTCTAGTGTTGCATGGCGTGGATCCCTCCGTTGTTGAGGAACCATGCCATGTTCAGCTTGCCTTACAGGCTCGCAATGTGGAAGGGCGTCGCACCTATGCTGGCTCACCATGCAGCCACAGGCGCAATGCACCTAGACAGAATCGGATGGCGTTCCAGGCGTGACCTGGACCCCACGGTCCATGTGATGTCCATGTGAAGGTTCAGCCAACTTGTATGAAGAAAGGAAGCTCTCTGGAAGCACAGCTGGCTCGGAAAAGTTCCCTCTCGTCGGGGTTGGCTCAAGTGCACAGGTGGCACCCCTCACCTTTGAAGCTGGGCCGGCACCTTCGTGCACATGGCAGCGGTGAGCCTCGCACCACTGCTGGGACAGGGCTTCCAGAAATACACACGAACAGAGTCGCTCCTCTTTCTTCCTTGCATCATTCCTCCAGCTCCCCATAAGCCCCCCCCCCCCCCCGGAAGACGACACTCGGCTCCGTCCGTGCCGATCCCATGTGGCCCGGAGGACTTGCGTGCCTGCTTCGGGCAGCTGGGCAGACCGGGAGCTGTTCGGCAGGAGCCGATGCTTGCACCGAAGAGCAGGTGCCGGGTGGCCCTACCCGTACTATCGAAAAAGGGCATAAAAATGCGCACTCGGCTTTCCCCCCCGCTCCGGCACGCAGGTGGAGAGTGTCGAGGAGCAGATAAAGAACCAGTACCTGAGCCTCCTGCAGACCGTGCCACTGCGGATGGATGTGCCCTGGACATCCAATGTTCCCCTATAAAGCGTTGAAATCGGTTCGTAGCCGCGGTGGCCGTTTCTTTTTTTGCTTATGGGGCACGGAATGTAAGTTTTTCGGTTGCTTTGTTTGTGCACTTCAGATCATCGGCTGCGCTGGCGGCAGTGTCCCCGTGAAGACGCAGTGCACAGCGAACGGAAACGGCCCGAACTGCACCTATAAATGCTTTTCTGGCGGACAGCAGCAACTTGTCTGTGGGCCGAACCAGATCATCCACCAGGAGCACTGCAGTGGCGGCGGCTGTAGCTGGGGATGTCATGCCTATGTGAGCTGCTCGACGAATCCCGAGCTCGTCGGTTGCAACCGGATGATTCCGGCGACCTGCATATGGGCCTGTCCAGGCGCGGCCTCGAAGTCCTCCAGGCTGCAGTGCCCTGAAGGCGTGGAGCCGGGCCAGACCTTGACTGAGAACTTGGAGGGCACAAACTGGGTCTGCTAAGACTGCTGCTGCCGGCAGCATGTCTCAGCACCTGCGCTGCCGGCGCTTTCCCCCTAATAGCCTAAGCTGAAGTGAGTTCTTTTGCAAGGCTCTGAAGTTTCTAAGCAGCCATGGATCTCGATGTTTATCGATGTTGTTGCTGCAGGTGCCGCCCAGTACCTGAGCGGTAACGACAGATGATGATGCTTGCTGTTCGTTGGTTCTCTCTTTTGTCTTGCTGGTTGTGGACCCTAACCGTCTAAGCCCCTGAACCCTAAACACACATAATTAATTCGCTTGATCCGACTACACACAGCCGTGCCCCAACGCGTGGATCTCCTTCTCGAGACCCGGGTCGATGGCGTTCAGCGGCCACAAGAGTCGCGTCGTTTCGACGGCAGCCAAGAAACACGGAAGACACTGTGAACGTCGATGTCTGTATTGATGATGGTGGTGATGATGATGAAGAAGATGATGATGATGATCATGGTGATGATGCTCATGATGATGATGATGATGATGATGATGATGAAGATGGTGACGATGATGATGTTGAAGATGATGACGGTGTTGATGTTGATAATAGCAGCATCAGTAGTAACTACTAGTAGTAGTAGTAGTAGTAGTAGTAGTAGCAGTAGCAGTAGCAGTAGCAGTAGCAGTAGCAGTAGCAGTAGCAGTAGCAGTAGTCGTGGTGGTGGTGGTGGTGGTGGTGGTGACCTGGTGGTGGTAGCAATTGGTGTTTTAGCAATATGTTTGCGTCCGTGGACCTGGCATAAATGCATCGTGCTGGATGTTATCATGACGCTGTACGAGATGCACAACTATCACACTGGGGGATGCGAGGCCCCTGGCAACTCTTGCAGGCATCGCGCGCATCGCCGAGTCGCATGCAGCGCTGGGTCGCCTTCCTGCTCCGCAGCTACCGGACTTCCCCGCAGTTTCAACAAATACGCGCTGAGCAGGGCGGTTTTCGAACTTCGAGGATTCGAAAGTTTTGGCCAGAACCTTGTCGGCCGTATCAGGTGGATGCCTATGATGCCTGTGTGGGTCTTCTTCATGTTCTGACTTGGTACGCGACAGCCGGACCTCCGTCAAATTCAAATCTCGAAAATTGGTTAGAAGCTGTAAAAACTCCTGAGGCACCGCTGCCCACATGTCTGTCGCTGTGAAAACTGCAAAGGCCCTCATCCTTCATACTGCGTGAGCCCTATGCACCGTCAGGAGCCAGACTCCACCACGTCACGGACGGCCGTCTTCGACCGAGTTGCATCGTCGTATGACCGAGCCTCGAAAGACTGCGAGGCTCCGTGGGGTTTTCAGTGCTGTTTTCGCATGACTAGCTTGAACTTACGAGCGGCGTGGTTTTACACGGTTTATGTGCATAAGCGTGACCAGTAATGGCTACAATCGATGATGACAACTAATCGTATGATGAATATAGTTGCCAGGTGTGTGCGGGTCGTAGCGATGCAATGTGGCGCAGCGTTGCCATGACGGCAGTAGTCATCACAATACCTACATTCATGAAAACGCGATTCCTTGCTTCTCCATCACTCTGGTATCATTGCATGAAAAGGATGGTGCATGTAAGGGATACAGCGATTCTTGCTGTCGTTGTTGGCTTAGTCGGCTTCTGTTCCGCGCACGGCTCTGCTGTCTGACTGCTTGCCGGTCTTTCCGCACTCTTCTTCGGCCCGGGTCCTCTGGAGGCTCCTCTAGAGCGCCAGTAGCAAAGATCCCAATGTCAGTAGCAAGAAGTCCCTATCCTCTATAAGCCAGAAAGCGGCAAGGTAGTCCCGAGAAAGCCCTGCAGCCATGGGAGGAGTTGGTGAACGCTTTGCCCCGAGGGGTGTTGGGATCCATCATCAAGGACGGTTGAAGTGGAAGGGATTGGATTTCCACAGGTTAATCGGGAAGGCCCAAGATCCAAGACGGAAGTCTCAAGGTTTGTGGCTCCCGGTGTGTCTGCAGAGCTACAAGTGTAAAACCATGGCAGCCACCTGCGCCAGGGATCCTCGGCTGTAGTGGCAGCAGTGCAACCTCAGGATTTTGTCCTTCCCAACACGCCCTAAACGCCAAACCCTTGATGTTTGAACTTCATGATGATGGAGTCAAGATCGTCGTCGTGTCCAGTGCGAGTACGTGCGTCATCTACCAGCAGTGAGTTTGGCATCGGGCACTCTTCAGTGTAAGCCTCACAAGAGGCAGGCTCGCTCTGACGAGAAGGCCACTACACTTTAACAAAAAAAACCCTGCACACTAAACCCTAAAGCTTGGAGCCCTGGAGCTGAACCAAATCAACTCCAAACGCCCCAACAGGCGCAGGCGACCTTCCGTGGCTACATCTTCCGGGCCCGGTACTTCGCAAAAGCCCGCGCTGCAAGGGGCCCAAATGAGATCATGATTTAGACATATCATTATATGTAAATAGTCAAATATATATATATATATATACACACACATATTTGCATATATATGTATATGCATATATAAATCTGTACATGTATTTATGCAAATATGTATTCATACATGTATATGTATGTATGTATGTATGTATGTATGTATGTATGTATGTATGTACGTACACATACATAGATGTATATGTGTACGTATATGTATGTGCATGTGTGTATGCTTGGCGGCTTTTCAGGGTTCAGGGCTGAAGGATTCGGGCTCCGAGGGTTTAGAGTTTAGGGCATCAGATGTTGACGGGAGCGCCGAGCTCGGAGGTGAAAGAATGGTTCTTCCTCCCACCAGCTGTTCGGGTTGCATGCACTAAGGTCGCTGCTTACTGCAAGGCTGGTGCGAAGGGTCTGCAGACGGTCTGCTTTGTCCATCTGAATTCTTCAGTTTGTGCTTCGCTGTTCCTCGTTTTGGTGTTTCCGGTGTTCGATGGTTCCTGGTTCCACAACAAAAGGCATACCGATGTAGTAGTACCAATCCAACAATGCTGACACTGCAAGATACTGCCTTGCAGGCTGCCTTCTGTTGAACTGCAGGTTTGTCGGCTCTCGAATGCAAAAGAGAACCACGACCCCGAGATCTCGACAACCTCAGACATCTTCCAAGCAAGATGAAAGAGTGTTAATACTAGCAAGTACGACTAGCAAGTCTTGCATTTGGGTTGCCATGATGATGATGATGATGGTGATGTTGATGATGATGATGATGATGATGATGATGTTGACAGTGATGATGATGCTGATGATGTTGGTGCTTACTACCAATCATTGAAGTCCGAGACTTTTGAAACACAAGGCTGAAACCCCTGTGTAGCTTAAAGGTTTGGGGATGTGTAGTGTACCCTAATAGTATCTGAGCATCACTCTTCAGTCATGCCACTTCTGTAGCAATCTCTGCAGAAAAGCCTTCGAGTGTGCCAGGCATAAGACCATAACGAAAGCATTACCGCTCCATCACACTCCTATAATACTATAACACTATAACACTGTAATATTATAATGCTCTAGTATAATGCTCTTGTCCCACCGTGCTATAATGCGATAGTGCTACGGTGCTATAGCACTTCTTTGCCAGCAGGCTGTGGCCTGGCCGGAGCTGCACCCACAGCTGGACCAGCAGGGCTTCCAAAGTTGGGGAGTTATAGGCCGCAGCTAGCCTCTAGATGTACCCCAAATACCCAGGATCAAGGACCATAAGGACTCTATTAAAGGGCCATTTGGGGGTGAGGGGAATCCAGACCCAGCAGCTCCTCCATCCTAGAGAAGTAGAGTATGGTAGGCCCCGTTCAGGTCTCTTTATGGAGCTTTGTCAACCCTGCGCAACACCCCTCCTTGAGTTGCCCAATTTGGAGATGGGGGCCAGGGTTCCCGGTAAGGGTTCCATGTCGGCAGGCACGGAGTGCCATTACAACTATCAGTCTTAAGCTAGTGCTGAGAGTATCAGTACCAGTATAACCATGGCCCGCTGATGAGGAGGGCGAGACCATGGACCTGGCTTCAGACAAAGACAAGAAGCTTCTGGCCAGCAATGTTTGACAAAAGGAGCAGGATGTTTCTGTTGACAGTTTGTCAGTACAGCCTGACATCCGACCATGTAATCATGCATACATACGTATCAAAATAGTGAGTTCATATCTCTTCTCACAGGTTGTATGGTCTGGGGAGCGGTTGCGCCGACATTCAACCTTCTGAGTTCCAAAAGTCTGATCGACTTTGCATGATCGTTTGGTTTGTTGCCTCGAGCTGTGGGGCTAAGCAAAGTGAGTGATTTAGTCCATTTAGGCTGAGTGATCTCTACGTCTTCTTTTGATTGCCCTGCCCATGCCGCTTCCAACACCTGCATCGCCTGTGATTACCTTTACATGGCAAACACCAAACTTCTTGCTTCTTATTTTCGTAGTTGGAGCGCACCAGACTCTGTAGTGTTGTCTTTGTGTTAGAGAAGCGTGAGCTGTGCAAAGGAAAAAGAAGTCGAAGATGGACAAGACCGGCATGGCCGGGCTTTCTAAGAGTTGCTAGCTTGGAGAGCATTGGGTTACATTTTTTGGACGTGGGGCCTCTGAGTTTTGCTTGGGGTTCAGGGAGTCTGAGCTGTGGCTGGATGCGTACATTTTCTTCGATGGGATGTTTCCGGGTGAAGCATGAATGCCTGCAATGTAATCTAAGATGAGATCGAACAATCCACTTTGTATCAGTCGCTCAGTTGTGCTGGAGAGTAGTGTCGTGATTGCACACAGAGTAAACGCGAATGCGAGAACATCCCCAAGAAGAAAGAAGCCCTAAGAGTAGCCGTAAGCATGCTCCAAAGCCCTGAACCCGACACCGATTGTTTCCGCAGGCAAGCAACAAAGCCGATACCTCGAACCTCAACCAGACGATTAGCGACTTCCAGCCGACGGTCTCTAAGCATCTTACCGCAACGATTACGGGCGTGTTTGGTGTTCAGGTTGTTTAATTTAGTTTAGCATCTTCAGGGCTGAAGGGTGAAATCTGGGAGCGTTTCGGGGTGAATACGGGTGAACAAGAGTGCAGGACACAGTGCCGAGAGTTGTGGCAGCTTTTTGGTACCGACTGCGACCATCTGAGGTACTTGGGCGGCGAGGGAAACGCTGCAGCGAAGCATGCTCCGCTTGGCCCTGAGACTGAGTTGTCTCGTCGCCGCAAGCCCACTTCTGCCCCTGCCCTTCTGCCACAGGGCTTCGCCTACAGCCTCGCCCATGCGCAACACAATGAACTCCACAATGGGCGACGGCCTCGGCAGAGGTGAGCCTTCGAAGGCCTCGTAGGTCGGTCCTTCTAAAACCCTCATAACCATCGCTGCAGAAGAAGTAAGACTTCACCTTGCCGAAGAGCATCCTTTTATAAGGTCCTGAGAAGAGTGCCCGTAGCTCTTGAGAGGTTCCATACTCACTTCTCTTCTCTTCACTTCTCTTCTCTGAAACCATACTCTACTCTATTTTTGCCCTTACTCTACAAGCTCTACTCTACTCTACTATACTCTACTATCGTGTAGTATAGGCTACTCTACCATGCTATACTATACTGGACTATACTATTTATGCTATACTATGCTATACTCCAAATTAGATACTATACTTTACTATACTATACTCATTTACTATACTATACTCAATACTATATACTATATACACTATATAACTTTTCTATATACTACTATATGGTTAACGCGCTTTTTTCATCGGTAGTTTGGGCTGCTTTAAGGTTTGTCTTACGTGGCAGGCGTGGGACTTTTGAGCATAAGCCAGTTCTGGGGCGTTAAAAAACTAATCCTTCTAAAAGTCCAGATCTGTGCAACTTTGTGTGGACGTTAACATGGTTGGGACATGGATGCTCTGTGACTTTGTGTGGACGTTAACATGGTTGAGACATGGATGCTCCGCGGGAACGGACGGACTTTGTGTGGACGTTAACATGGTTGGGACATGGATGCTCTGTGGGAACGGACGGGCTTCGTGTGGACGTTAACATGTGTGGGACATGGATGCTCCGTGGGAACGGACGGACTGTGTGTGGACGTTAACATGGTGGGGACATGGATGCTCTGTGGGAACGGACGGACTGTGTGTGGACGTTAACCTGGTTGGGACATGGATGCTCTGTGGGAACGGACGGACTTTGCGTGGACGTTAACATGGTTGAAATATGGATGCTCTTTAGGAACGGACGGAGTATGTGCATGGATGTTATCATGGTTGGGACATGGATGCTCTGTGGGAACGGACGGACTTTGTGTGGACGTTAACATGGTTGGGACATGGATGCTCGGTGGGAACGGACGGACTTTGTGTGGACGTTAACATGGTTGGGACATGGGTGCTTTGTGGGAACGGACGGACTTTGTGCATGGATGTTAACATGGCTGGGACATGGATGCTCTGTGGGAACGGGCGGACTTTGTGCAGGGATGCCTGTA